CGGAGATGGGCAATCTGGGAGAAAGAGGCCTTCATGATTAGATGGGTGCTATTACACTGGTGACACTATCTAGAAGGGAGCAAGGTGCCATTTGAAGTATGGACAGATCACAAAAATCTAGAAGCACTGAAAACTCCCCACAAATTGTCCCCAAAGCAAGTGTGGTGGGCACAGTACTTTAACCGCTTCAACTTCACTCTAAAGTACATACCAGGAGGAAAAAACTTCCTAGCTGATGCGCTATCCCAGTTACCCCAATACAAAAGCGAACGGGAGGAGGTTAACGAGGCAATTATCCCCAATCCACAAACTGCCACTCAACTTACGCCTCGCAGGGTCCCCAATCCTGATGACCCTGGGGTAAAGAAAATAAAACGAGAGCTCCTCACCAATCAATGGTTCAAAGATAATCAACCCTCCCTAATGTGCAGGGATGGCTTGGCTTACAAACGGGGGAAACTATATTTGCCAGAAGCCCTCTGTCTTAATGCTCTCAAACACAGCCATGATGTAAAACAGGCTGGACACTTTGGATATTTGAAAACCCTACACCTCACCCGCCAGCAATTTTGGTGGCCGGGGCTGAAAAGGGATATGGAAAACTATGTAAAAAGTTGTACTGTATGTGCCACAATGAAAAGAATTCCAGGGAAAACCCCTGGGTTACTGCAACCCGTGGCAGACCCTTCTCAACCCTGGGAAGAAATAGCTATGGACTTTATAGTAGACCTATCTGAAAGTAGAGGAAATACTGTCATCTGGACTGTGATAGACCTGTTTTCAAAGCAGGCTCATTTCATCACCTGCAAAGGACTCCCATCTGCCCAACGACTGACCAAATTGTTCCTGAAACATATCTACCGGCTGCATGGCGCCCCTAAATGAATAATTTCAGACAGGGGGGTGCAGTTCACAGCGAAGTTTTGGAGGAGTTTTCTTAAATTTATTGGATCATCTCAAGGTTTATCATCTGCTTTTCATCCTGCCACCAATGGGGCTGCAGAATCCGCTAACAAAATGGTGGAGCAATATCTTAGATGCTACATTTCTTACCAACAGACGAACTGGACTTACCTCCTCCCTTTTGCGGAGGTGGCGTACAATAATTCTGTGCACAGCAGCACCGGCTACACGCCTTTCAGAGTGGCCACAGGAAAAGAGTTCAGCCCAATACCTGAATACCTTCAGGTGCCCTCCGCTTCCCAGATACTTGACCAGTGGGTGAGGGGGTGGGAAGAAGTTTGGAGGAACACAAAAACTTCGTTAAAAAAGACTTTTGAAACCTATAAAAAGCAGGCTGATAGAAAGAGGGCTCCCCAAAGAACATTCCAAGTTGGGGAAAAGGTTTATTTGTCAACTAAATATTTATGCCTCAAATTGCCCAGTAAGAAATTGGGACCAAAATTCTTGGGGCCTTTCCCCATAGTAAGGATCATCAATCCGGTCACCGTAGAACTAAATCTCCCTAGACATTTAGGGAGAATTCATCCAGTCTTCCATTGCAGCTTGTTGAAACCTTATCGGGGCTCCACTTTAAGACCTCCCCCGAAGAAGCCATCTGGGCCCCTCGTAGTTGCGGGACAGACCCACTATGAAGTGAAATGTATTCTTGACTCTAGAATTTTTAAAGGGAAATTGCAGTACCTAGTACAATGGAAGGGATACCCGTTGTCTGAAGCCACCTGGGTGAAATCCAGTGAGGTGAAAGCTCACAGGCTTGTCAAAAGGTTTCATGTGAAATACCCCAACAAACCGAGAACTAGTCATTAACATATGCTTTTGTTTACATTACAGGATCTGTCCTTTTTGTAAGAGGGGCCGAATGTCAACGCTGCTAATATTGAATATTCTTGCTTTAACAAAATATGCAGAACTGTCTGGTATTTTTAGAGTTAATTTAGATGACAGAGAAAGGGGAGGAGAATTATAAGGAAAGCCCGGGAAAAGGAATGGAAGTGAATCTTTGCCCTCCAGGTTAATTGGAAGATGTGAACCATGACCCCAAAATAGGAGAGGGGAAATGCATGGAATGTTATGTGCAAAGGAAGGGAAATTCAGATCTTGGCATCCATCATGCCGTGCTGACACGTCTCTACACTAATAAAGGCTTTTTTAGGTTAAACCATGCCTGAAAGTTCTTTGAAGTGTTTCATTAGTCAGACACATGACAATCTGAGTTTGTTCTTTGGCTATGCCAAAGGAAGCCAAGAGGTGAAAGTAATGCTGTTGTCCTTTCTACTCTTGTGTGGTTCAGATTATAACTCCAGTGAGAAATTAGTTGTCAACCTGGGGTTCACATCACAGCTGTCCTGCTTTGTGTTGGGCAGTAGGCTGAAGTAAATGTATGCCATATCAAAATCTTATCTCCAGCTTTCATATGTAGAAGGAGTAGGTTATCAAACTAGCATTTTAGTTGAAGGACAAAAGCTGGCTCTGAGCAACTAAAAGAAATGTTCAAAATATAAAAGGAATGAAAGGAAGGCGTTTTTCTCTCAAAAAAGCTGACACATGAACTTGAAGTTCAGAAGTGTAATAGCTAAAGGACAGCCTTAAAATGTTCAAGTAAATGACAGGAGAATTATATGCATTTGTGATTAATACCACAGGAATAAGAAACTGAAACCAACTCTTGTGATAGATAAATGCTGCACTAACATATCTAACTCTGCATCAATGTTGGGCTTAAGGGCAAAAGGCACTCTACGAGGCTTTACTTTGATTGGGGCTATGGTTGGATCAAGATGGAGAGCAATTGGTGCTCCTTTGTACTTCCCTAAATTGGGACTGAATACGTCCCCAAACTCCTGGCAGACAGCTGCCAAATCCGCTGTTTGGGTTCTGTTGATGCCAGTCACAAGGATGCCCAGGGATTCAAACCAGTCTAGGCCGATCAGGCTTGTGCGCTGGCCTTCGGCTACCATGATGTTGAGGGGACCCTCAAACTCTTTGAACTTCACTTTTAACATGGCTTCGCCTTTAACCGCTATGCGGGAATTTTGAAAATCTGTGAACACTAGATTTGACGGCTTGAGTCTGACTCATTTCCCGCTATGTCTGCAGATGTAATTGAAGGTTTTGTAGGAGATTATGGACAGGGCTGACCCAGTGTCCAATTCCATTGAGCATGGAACTCCTTGTAGCTTGACTCTTAGTCTAAGCTTTTCTTTGAGGGGGCGATGGGCTCCTGTTCTCAGAATGCTCCTCCTTCCGGGGCCCCTTTATCAGAATGCTCCTGCCCCGGGGCCCCTTTATCTCTCCTGGGGAAGTCTTCGGGTGGAGATTCCCTCTGGCAACCTTTACAGATGATAGTGATGTGGCCCTGTTTGCCACATGCTCGGCACACAGCTGTACGAAACCTGCACTCTGAGCGCTGGTGCCATCCTTCGCAGCCAGCACAGCTAGGGAAGAAGGCTGCCTTGTCAAGTGGCTGCTGCCTTCTTCCTGGAAGCTTCTGCACCTGGTCGATCTCAATGTCCTCGTCTGAGTCATCTGCTCTCTCTGAATCTTCATGATGAACAGTAATCTGGCTGGGGGAATTCTTTGAGGGTTGTAAAACCTTGACTGCTCCTCCGGCGGCCTCTTCTGCCATCGCTTCTTTCAAGGCATCCTGGAATGTCAAGGTCTCCTTTGCAAACAGCCTCTGCTGTAAGTCTATGTTTCTTAGGCCACATACCAGTCGGTCCCTGAGCCGATCTTCTAAATCTGGGAATTCGCAGAGTCTGGATGCCTGTCTCAGGGCAGCCATGAATTCAGCAGCTGACTCCCTGGCTGCTGTTCTCTCTGCTTGAATGCGTGTCTCCATGCAATGATAGAGAGTCTTGGTTCGAAGTGTTCTTTGAGTCTTCTTTTCAAGTCAGCATAGGTAATTGACTCCAAGCTGACTGGGGTGATTAGATTTTCGGCTATGTCAAAAGTTGCCTGGCCGCATACGCATAGTAATGTTGCAGCCTTTAGTCCGTCTTCCCTGACTTGGTTTGCTCTCAGGTAATTTTTGACCCGGGAAACGTAAGAGCTCCATTGCTTTGGATGCGATAAGTCGAATTCGGATAGCTTGCCTACCTTGGCCATAGCTGTCTGTTACTGAGTCTCTCAATGCCTTATGCTGTTAAGGGCTTCTGTGAGAATCCTAGGGATGGCTAGCGTGGCTTGCTAGCAGGCAGAAGGGGGGAACGCTGTTCCTACCAGGGCGCTGAAGCCTGGTCTTACCCCTTAGCGACTCTTAGATCTTAGACCTCTTAGACCTCCAGCTCTTTCTTCCTTAGCAGCATATCCCACCTTTGTCGCCACTGTTATATACTGGACCCAGTGAGGCATTGAAGAGACCGGAGTGAAAGTAACAGCTCATTTATTCAATCCACACAGAAGCGGCTCTAACAGCTGCTTTACTCTTATTTATACAGACCGCCACTAGGCAGCAGCCAATGAGTTTAAAGCATACATTCCCGCCTAAAACACAGGCTTGCAATATATATATATACAGTCAGTTAAGGATTTGAATTGAACATCTTTAGTTAACCGTTTTATGACAACCCTATGAAATTGGGTTAATACACAACAGGCTGACTGTGAGCCAATCAGTTTTTTAGCCTGGGAAATCAACCTACAAGGATTACTGTAAAACAATAAAACTAAAACAAAGTTGCAGTAATGTTGTTTCTTTTAATTGAAATTATGAACTTCAGCTGAAAAGAATATTTCTTTGGGCTAAATTTAATAAGAACTGTTCATTTGCAGTTTATAATATTTTGTGCATCAAATAATTAGAAAGAATAAGCATGTACAAATCTAAATGAAATCATAACCTAGGGAAGGTAGCAGTTTGTTGTTGCTGCAGTTCCCTTATATATCTTTGATGTGGCTGCTTCTGTTTATATATTTATGTTAGGTTATTGATGGTAGCTGACTGTATTTTAAGCAAAAAAACTCATCACAGGTCAGTGTAGCACATGGCAATTATACATTTGATTTTGTACCTTCTCAAAATTGTATTTCACTTACAGATGTACCTTTCTGTTTCAGGCACAATCTTGGTAGACAGCATGTTGATCAAAGGAACAGCAGGAGGATCTGATCCCACTATTGAACTCACGTTAAAAGATAACACAGATTACTGGGTCATTTTAGATCCCATCAACCAGAGACTTTATCTTAACAGCACTGGACGAATTCTGGACAGAGATGTAAGTTGTTTTCTCCATCACTCATCAACTTGATTCTTCTTTTACATTAAACTTCTAGTTTCAGGATTTTTTTCCTTTTCCTTTTTCTTTTTTTTAATTTTAATTTTAATTTATTTATGAGTAATGAAAATAGGAAATGCACATTTCTGTCGTAAGCGTACTTTTTACTGTGAAAGAAATTCCATTGAGCTCTTCTAAACATGTTAAATTGTAGCCATAGTAGGTGTCTCAAGTCATGGATGTAAGTTAAGAACCAAGCATCCTATCAAGCAGATTTTTATATTTTCTTGGTCATAGTCAAAATAATGGTATAATTTTTATCAAATGGCATAAATGACTTGATTCATACAATGGGCTAGGCCTTAAATTTCCATTACAAATGACAGTGTTTGAATTCATTCCACGCACAAATAAGAAAACTGTCTTTTACTTGATATGATTAATTAATAAATATACTAAGAATTGGGTAACTGTATTGATGCAAGCTCTGAATGTTTTTTTTTTAGTTTTAACACTTGAGGTTTTATATGAAAAGCAAATAAGCCAATGATTTCAATTTAGTAATAAATATTTAAGGGAGTTATGGCCATATCTGCCTTAATGGTTGGATTTCAAAGCATTGAAATAAGGGCTGAAGAATCTGTGGTTTGCAGTGTATTAGCATACTTTAAAGGCCTGTTTATATTCTATCAAAGGTCCACTCAAATCCCCATTTGGATAATGTTATCCAAATGCTATTATCACTTTAATGTAAATGTTAAAGGGACAACTAAGTTCTTGAGAAAGTTAGCAACTGTTATGGTAGATACTGGGAGAAAAGTTTATGATCAATCATAAAACTTTTTTAGGGCAGTTGTTGAAAGTTCTGCTCTGGCCCTGTAATATCTCTGAATGGACTCTTAGTTCCTTAAATTTTTAAGAGCACCCAACTCAATAGCTCTTAATATTCTGAGTGGTTGCATTTAATAATATTAGCAGTGATAGTAGAGATAAGAAAGAGTACATATTAAGAGTGGTGGAAAGACCATGGAGATAACTTTGCTATGATGTAGTTGAAAGAGAGGTAGAGGGGAATGTTGGTAGTAGCACCTCAGCTTCCCAGGAAAGAGGCAACACACTCCAGAGAGGGGCCTATGGCAAGAGACTGCATGTCCAGAACTGGATAGTAGTAGGAAGAAAAGGTTCAAGGTAGCCACACTCTGGAATGTCCCTGGATATACTGTATTTATTGGGTTAGAAAGTTATAACTTTAGTCTGGTAAAATTCTGTCTATTAGATGCAAGCAAATAAAGATCTGGACTTGAATGGATCTCACTGTCATTTCTGGGGATTGGGCCTGACATCTGCTGAGGTTGTTGCTTCTATTAGAAGTGATACTGTTTGCTGGACAGATTGACATCTTTCCAACAGTGTTGCTCATGTATGTATTATAATATGATACATATGAAGACTTATACTTTGCTTAATCTGCTTCTCACCCCAAAATAATGAAAACGATGAATTCAGTTTCCACCACTTATGACTGAAAGAGGCTCTAGTAGAAAAGGAGACAGTTGAGAATATATGTGGTTCCAGGACACTATTTGCCCACCTTTGTCTAAGATAAAAAAAGTAACCTGATTATAAATGATATAAATGTGATGCAGCTTTGAAAGATCGTCATCAACGGTTGTTTTACGAATGAACAATGGTTTCCAAATGTAAGATGTTGCTATTTATTTGTGTCTAATTTCTATGAACAGGCTGTAATATAATTTTTTAAAAAATTATTTGATTTCCTATTATTATAAATGCAAGTAGTACAAGTATATTGTGAGTTCTGTGTAGCTATAATATTATTGATGTCATAGGTTCATGATATAAGAAGTAAATCTATCAATTACAAGGCAAGATCAATTTTACTAAGGGAAAGAAGAGAAATGCCTCTACTGTCTATTCAAGCAATTTATTCTTAGGTAATTATCATTTCATTAGGTAGCCAGGATTAATCCTAAAAGAAATTTTAGAGCTCTGGACCTTGACTCTATTGTATTGCAAATAAAGAAGTTCTCTAGAATACAAGGTTGACCGATATTACATTTTTGCTTGTAGGATACAAGGAAACCCATTTAGAAATTGAGCTCAAATGTGAAAACATACATTTAAGAATCTTCCCATAAGATTGAAAGCAAGTATTATTTGTATTAAACAATTTTAAAAGCACCCAACTCATTAGCTATTAATAGTCTGAACAGCTGCATTTAATAAAATTAGCAGTAGTAGTGGAGTTAAGAAAGATATGGTACACATTAAGACTCAAACAACATAACAAAAAAATAATAGTTGTTGCTATATCCCAGAAACTGAAAGAAAAAGAACAGATGTTGATTTCTCATTTGCCTTATAAATGAAATAATAATTTTGGTTTTGTTTGCCATAGCTTGATTGCAATTTGGTTGAGCTGCTGACGGCCAAATAAATTTGCTTGGATGGGGGCATTCTTGCCACAGACTACTAAATAGATGTACCTCTTATAAGAGATATGTTTGCAAATCATAAATTCATACTGTGCACAGAATAAATTGTACTTTTGAAAGTTAAAGCTGGAGGTGATTCTGTGAAATGTTTGTAAAAATTGCTTGTAGTTCACTTTTTCAGTCTCAATCAGTGCCTTTTACTCCTATTATTTTTATGAGTGTCTATGGGAAATGTTCACATACATGCCTGGTATATGAGCTGCACTATGGCAATGATGTCTTTTTAGCTGTTTCTGGACTTTACAAAACATAGTTTGTGGATACCACTGTAATACAGGTCCTTGAGTTATGACCATTTGTTCAGCAACTGTTTAAAGTTAGTCCTGAATGAATGTACTTACACCCAGTCCCAGACTTTAACAGCCATTACAGCACCCCTGCGATCATGTGATCAAAACATGAGCACTTGGCAGCTTGCCTACACTCACAACCAAAGGGGCACTTCAACTCCCCACCCACTATAATGGTATGTGGGAAAGACCTTGGGAGACTGGATAAAGAGATGCTGCCAAGGGAATGATCAGATAAGAGACAATGTAGTCCATGATAGTGGACAGAGCAAGAGGCTCAGAAAAGACCCTCTCTAGTTTCTAGACCTGTAAAGGAGAAGGGAGGAATGTACTTTCTATCTTGCAAAAAGTCTTATCAGTGTAGCTTTACAATAAAGTAGAATTAACTCATCTTATTGTATTTCCTATCTGGTTTGCCCTGCAATTATGACATGCACCTAACCTCCTCATTTCTGCCCTTTTGGTTTCCTGCCACCCAAGGTTCCTGCCACCCTATGCTTTGCCACCTTCATCTGACTTCACTGTCTTCTTGCTCCATGCTTGGCCTGGGCCCTTGCCATTCAGTTGTTGACAACATGAGGCTTTTTTCCCCCAAGCTCACACTTGGTTAGCATCTGCCTTGTGAAGGACCAGATCAACTGTCCATCTAATATTGGCAGACGAATACAAGTCTTTCTGGAAAATAGTGATCCAAAAGAAACTGAGTTTCTGTGGTTCATCCAGTGATGCCATCTTAACCTTAGAGTCATGTCAGACTAGATCAGTACTAAGGTAAAGAATCTTGAATACAGATGGGCAAACAAAAATTGCTATTTTCTCTCATAATATATAACCAAATTTTAGTATCGAAGCCAGTTTCATATTTATATCATATCACAGTTCCAAAATTAGGAGAAACTTATCTTTAATGGTCTCCCTACAACTGTCCTGGAAGGAAAATATTAGGAAACCCTTATATGAAACCCAATATACCCCTATGATATGGGTACAATAGAAACCGCAGCTCCATGTTGTTCTGTTTTGTTCCACATAGACATTTGCCACAGTTGTGTGCTCTTCCTTTATTTAAATTTCTGGTGCACTCTGACAATTTTGTCTTAACTGATAAGCAATCAAGATAAATTTATTTTTCTAAAGACAGCAATATTTTGCTACATTATGTATAAGCTTCACCCATAAATAGTTGCCAATAGTTCTTATTGTTAGGGGATAGCTTTGCGTGGTTCTTTTTTTAATTAAATATGCATTTATTGGTTAATGAGTAAAATAAAGTTTCTCTCTGTTCTGTAAAGCCAGGCCAGGCACCCACATCAACTATATGGGAGCATGGTGATAGTCAGTTGCAGTTGCACAGCAGGAGCCTCAGAATGCAGGTAACAAAGGTAGCTAGGCTGAAAACTTTGTGCTTTAGTGCTTGTCTGGTCTGGGCTATGGTCCAGACTGCAGTCTGGGCTGCTATGGCACAGAAGCTCAGGGGCTTTTTGTAGACCCAGTGTTGTGATTCCTCACCAGCCAGTGGATCCGGCAGCCGAGTCTGAGGATTCAGATGAGGAGGAGGGGCCTGGAGTGACATTGGAAGAGAAGAGAGGTGAGCAAGACAGAGGAAGGCAGTGGGGCGGCTCCAGAGGCAAAAGAAAAGTCATTAAGAAGCCACCCCCCAGCTGGACTATAAAGGGGGGAGGTGTGGGAGGTGCTGGTTGCCAAAGGCAACCATTCACGCTGTGGCTTCATGTTTTTGTGATTGTGTTGCTTGCCTCCGAAGTCTTGGACTTTGAATCAGGTGTGTAAAAATAAAAAGGGGGTTGTTTTTCTTGTGGGTCCTGCCTGGTTCCATGAAGAGGGGTTTTTCCTCATGAGTAAAGCAGTTGAGCAAGTACTTGCGTAGGCTGGGACAGAACACCCAGAGCCCTGGCATGCTAAGAAGTTCTTAAGTGGCAGCATAGATTCTGGGGCTGCTGGCTGCTGGATAAGGAAGGAGACAGAGAAGAATGTTGAATATACAGTTGAGGAGACACATGTAATTACTTGTAAGTAGTTCTTTATTGTTGTTCTCCTATAGACAGACCTCTTGCCAGACTAAAGCAACTGTCTGCATAACTACTAGATCATCAACATCATTAGCGTCATCTTCATCATCATCATTTTAGCCATTGTCTCTCCACTCCAGGATGAAAGCCTCTTCCGCATGTTTCCA